CCCAATGCAAAACTTTGTAAAAGTGTTTTTTTCACTGAAACGGTATTTTTTTTGTAAAGTATAAGATCAAGAAGAAAACAACAACTGACACTAGGCACTGAATTAACAGATTACCCAGATGAATCAACAAAAAGTTGTAGCAAGGTGATGCAATAATGATATAAAAGTAGCATCATGCACAAAGCAAAAATTATAAATATGTTTGAGACTTACCATGGAGTGCACCCTAAGGTTCGTCGTTGACGACCGACCTAGTCATAGACACATGTTTTCCATAGCGGTTTGGAGGAGCTTGACCGAAGCCCGAGTGTAGTTGATGTCGATATTCTCGACATTGACGAGCACCCCCAAAGTGGTGGCGATGGAGCAGGGGTCCGATGCGGCGCATCGGGCTGACGGGATGGAGGTCCCTTTTCATGAGATTGCCCTCTATTTTTATGCTCAGCACCATGGTAACCTCGGTGTGGGTGGCGGTCTAGACAAGGCCAAAGGTAGCCTATGAGGTTTTTGGTGCGGAGCTCCCTGTCACGTGACTGCCCTATGTTTTTGGGCTCGGCACAACATTAACCTTGATGTGGGTCATGGTGCCGACAAGGCCGAAGGTGGGATGCGAGGTATTTTGGGCGGCGATCCTTCCTATGAGAGAATAGTGCTAGGGACGTTAGCTTCTTCATGGCTGACTTCCGCAACGTCCGTGTCGCCCGTCGTTCCACCCCGGGCTAGGGTGGGAGATTCAGACTCCACCTTTGAGGGGGCATCCTTTTTCTTCGAGCTTGTAGTTAAGGCATTTTTCCTTCGATGCTTTAGCATGTGTCGACGACCGTTACCATCTAGCGCTTCCATGGTTTGGGTGACTACTCACACGATGAGGACTCCCCACGGTTGGCATGAATGTGGATGGTCAAGAACAAACTATCGAAATGGGTTCTGTACAGCGACCTTATTTCGAAGTTCGCCGAACACGTGACACATCGATGTTTTTTTAATAGGGTCGGTTGCCTCGTCGGAGCACGATCTACGTCCTATAAGGACAGTTGACGATAGTGATGGTCGGCGCATGGCACACTTCGCGGATACCCGCTTCCGAAGTCCCACGACTCCGGGCTAGTCTATGACTTACTAGATCGCTCAAACTTCGGTTCCCAACCTCCAGTTGAGCCAGGCTTATGGAGGGCATGCAAAAGTCCGGCCGCCGCTTTTTTTCTACTTTGAAAATGGCTGTGAAATAAAAAAAATCATGGTTTTAAAAACATTCAAACGTTTAAAGAAGTTCACAAAATTGAAAAGTTTGCGAATTAAAAAAATCTTGAATTTAGAAAAAATAACTAAATTCAATAAAACTTCGCAAATTCCAAAAAACTTTTATGAATTAGAAAAAACAAAATTTTTAAAAAGGCAATATCTATGAAAACATTTTGAATTCAACTTAACTTCGGGAAATTACTTTAATAATTTCAAGGCTTTTACAAGGTCCACGTAAATAAAATAAATCATGAATTTAAAAACCTAATTCACGAATAATAAAAATAATATAAATCAAAAAGCAAAAACGTTTACTTGAATACCAAAAATGTTCAGAAATTTCAAAAAACTATAATTTTTTTGGAAAAGGTAACTAGTGTGCAAAAAAGTTCATGGACTTGAAAAAGGGTCAAGAAATTGAAAAGAAAAATCCAAGTAATAAGAAAGTGCGTGAAACTTGAAAAAAAACTTTTTGGAATTTAAGAGAAGTTCACGAATTTTGCATAAATGTTCACAAATTATGGGGAAAATTTGTGAATTTGAGTAAAGTTCACGAATTTGGAAAAGCTTCACGTATTTTTAAAAAATCATGAATTTCCAAAAACTTCAAGAAATATGGAAAACAGTTTCGGGAACTGAGAAAATTTCAAGAATTTAACAAAAGTTCACGTATTTGGAAAATGTTTTGTGAATTTGCAAAAAGTCAATTTCACAAAAAGTTCAAGAATTTGTAAAACATATGAATTCAAAATAAAAAAATATCATGAAAAACATATACAAAATTTTAAAACCCGAACAAAAACCAGATAGAAAACAGAAAGAAAAAACACATAAAAGAACCAGCCACAAAAAAATGGTAGATAAACCGCACCAACTATGCAGTGCTAAGTGCGCTGGTCCGATCCAATCAGGGTGTGTACACCCCGTACGGTTTAGCCTCTATTCTACATAGGAAACACGAAATAGGGTTTGGGGGCGACTATGTCTCACCGATATCAAGATGTAGTGCACACGTTAAGCAACCGCGAAAAT